TTTTTCATAGATTTTGGACCATTTTTCATAGATTTTGGACCATTTTTCATAGATTTTGGACCATTTTTCATAGATTTTGGACCATTTTTCATAGATTTTGGACCATTTTTCATAGATTTTGGACCATTTTTCATAGATTTTGGACCATTTTTCATAGATTTTGGACCATTTTTCATAGATTTTGGACCATTTTTCATAGATTTTGGACCATTTTTCATAGATTTTGGACCATTTTTCATAGATTTTGGACCATTTTTAATGAAAAAAACTGGAGCGTTCTAAAAGCTTGGGGGGGGGGGGATCTCGTAGAGCCTTCTAGAACCATCGAAATCCTGTTCGAAAGGAGGCTTAAACGTCTAGAAGCATCATTTCGTGTCGACTGGAGTCTTCTAGAATCAGCAAGAGGCTTCTAGTACACCCACGTCGAGCCTTTAATAGCCTTTCAGAATCGTCTGGAGTCTTCTAGAACAATCTTCTAGGGCATTCCCCCCTCAATTTTGGCTTGAAATGAATGAAAATCGGTTCGCCGAAGTGTCCAATTTTGAGGTCTAGAATGTGCCTGAAATCAGTACAAATCAGCTGTTGGAGCACTGGAACAACCTTCTATTCGATCTCGAAATCATTCTTCTTTTTCGCAATCTTGATATAATTGAAACTAAACAAAAACAAAACAATAGGGGGCAGCACAGGAAATTGAGAAATTCTCCTCTCGTTTTTTCCCCACACTTCTATTCAACAGAAGAACGAAAAGAAAAGCGAAAAACTAATCAAAGTAATGGGGGGTATGTGTCTTTCGGACGGATATGAGTAAGACATCCTCTTGTGGCAGCCGCACGTCTTCTGAATACGACACATCTTCTAGTAGATGTATTCTTCTGAAGACACATTTCGCAGAAGATGTGACGTAGAAAGCTTGAAGGAGAATTCCCAGCTTGATTTTGACAAAATCCGGAGCCAAAATTGGCAAACCGCCGCGGGTGAAAATACCGATTTTTGGGAGCTGAAATTAGCCAAGAATGAGCCAAAAATCACCAAAAAACTGCCCAAAATTGGCTGAAAATGACTCGAAAAGCGCCGAAAATGCGATTTTCAGTAGATTTTTGCGTATTGTAGACGATTTTCAGTGATTTTCAGCCAGAAAAACCTTCTATAGTCGATTTTTGAGTTTGAGGACGTTGTAGTGCTAATTTTTCGGTCTAGAACCCTTCGAGAGTCAATTTTGGCGCCTACAGACATTCTGAAGCCAATTTCTCGGTTCCGAAACGTTTTAGAGTAAATTTTCGGGTCCAGAGACAGCCTAGAGCCGAAAAACGCCCATTTCTCGAACCCTTGGGCTCCTGGACGTTTCGGAACCACGACAGCTCAGAACCCGACAGTTCAGAACCCGACGTTTCAGAACTTTTCTGCATTTTTGTATAGTTGTTTTTGCGCACCAGATGAGCATTGCTCATTTCAATTTTGTGTTTTTCTGCTTTTTTTTTCATTCTCATTTACCGTACTCCAAATAATGATAGGTTCACACAATTTTCAAGAACTTGCTTTTATTAATGGCATCGTTCTTGAAAATTCCAAATTTTTTCGATTTTTGAGAGATACCGAGTGTGAACCTATCATTATTTGGAGTACGGTAAATGAGAATGAACAAAAAAGCAGAAAAACACAAAATTGAAATGAGCAATGTACAAAAATGCAGAAAAGTTCTGAAACGTCGTGGTTCCGAAACGTCCAGGAGCCTACCCTTGGACCATGATGACCTTTTTGGGGCGCCCTTGGTCCCATTTTTGACCAGTTTTCCGTTTTTTTCGGGCTCATTTTCTATTGGTTTTGAGATCCTTGTTAGCTCCACTCATACCTATGTGTGGGCGGAGCCTATTCTTCCTCTTTTTTCCATTTTTTCCATCTTTTCTCTCTCTCTCTCTCTCTCATCGCCATCATTTTATATGTTTTTCTGTGTGTGTGAAATTTGAGATTTTTTTATCTGAAATTTGAGATTTTTTGGCTGAAAATTTCAGATTTTTCAAATTTCAACTTTTTTTGAATTTTTTTCTATTTTTAGTGATTCTAGGCCCTTAAATACACCGAAAATTCAAAATTTTCGATCAATAATCATCTAGAAAATCAATTTTTGACGAAAAGTTGAATATTCTAGAAATCTGAAAAATTGGAAGAAGATTTCAGATTTTTTGAAAAAAAATTTTTTTCGATTTTTTTTGGTTTCCAGTAGTCATAGGCCTAAAATGAGCTGAAAATTCAGATTTTTCGATCAAAATTAGTCTAGAAAAATTCCATAAAAATTGATCTGAAATTTGGGGTTTTTGGCTGAAATTTCAGATTTTTCGAAAAAATTTTTTTTTTTTTTGATTTTATTGGTTTTCGTTTGTTCTAGGCCTAAAATGAACTGAACTGTGTACACACACACACACACACGCACACACACACACACACACACACACAAAAAGAGTGTTTATTTTGTGTGTAGCGGAGCTATTTGTTCTTTCCTTTCCTCTCTCTCTCTCTCTCTCTCTCTCTCTCTCTCTCTCTCTCTCTCTCTCTCTCTCCCTCTCTCTCTCCCTATTTCTTCCCCTTCTTTTTCTCATTTTCTATTCAAAATGGATGGAAAAAAAAACACACATAAAATTTTAGGTGACACCCAAAAAGAAGGCGGTCAGAAGACGTTCTTGAACCAAAAATGTAGGATTTTTGGCCCTGAAAATTATAAGCCAGAAATTGCCATTTTCAACCGAAAAAATTGGCGAAAATGGCCGAAAATGGGGTCCCAAAATTTTTTACCGATTTTTGGATATTTTTCTTTTTTTTTTGAGTTAAAAATGGCCAAATTTGACTTGAAATGAGCCGAAAATTGTCCAAAAATGGCTCGGAAAAGGATTACTGTAGTTGCGAATGAGCAATCAAATCGGTGCTATGTCGATTTTAGGCCATTTTCAGCCTTTTTTTTTGGCTAAAAATGGTATGAGCAATCAGACTGACTCCTCGACAACCAAATTCGGTCCATGCGCCGCTGAAAATATTGCACTTTCAGCGTCGCAAGTTGGGTCCAAAGTTGCCCTCTGTCTGTGTGTCCGAGTGTCCAGATTTTCAGTTTTGGCGCTTTTCGGCCCTATTTTTGGGGTCATTTTCAGCCATTTTTAGTGATTTTTGGGCCATTTTAACTCAATTTAGACGCTAAAAATGTCATTTTCAGTCCATTTTGACTCGATTTTCAAGATTTTTAGACATTTCCAGCTAATTTTAACCTTAAAAATGTCATTTTTGATCGATTTTGACACCCCTTTTTTAACCCCAAAAACATGTATTTTTGCAGTTTCAGAACGGTATGGGTACTGTGGAAGTGCAAACGATTACTGTAGCCATTCACAATCATCGAAACAACAACAACGCCTCAGCCGCCGCCGCCGCCACGACGACAGGACATCCGGACGGACAGACACACGAAAGTATGATTGGAGATGGAGATGGATCACAGGGAAATGAGAGGCCAATGGTAAGGTTTTTGGCTGAAAGTAGGCTGAAAATAGACTAAAAAAGGCTGAAAATAGGCCGAAAATCATCAAAACCAGGTTGAAAATGGCTGAAAATGACCGAAAATGACTCAAATATGGCTGAAAATCGCTGAAATTAGCCAAGAATGAGCCAAAAATCACCAAAAACTGCCCAACATTGGCTGAAAATGACTCAAAAAGTGCCGAAAATGCGATTTTCAGTAGATTTTTGGGCATTGTAGACGATTTTCAGCGATTTTCAGCCAGAAAAACCTGCTAAAACACGTCTAAAAATTGATTTTTCCAGGAACCCCTCAGCCCATCGAGTGTGTTCGACGCGCGTGGACCGAATTTGGTAGTCGAGGAGCCAGGTGAGAGAGAGAGCGTTTTTAGCTGAAAAATAGGCTGAAAATGGGCTGAAAATGACCCAAGAATCATGGGAAAACGCGTCCAAAATGACCCAAAAAAAGCTTAAAATTGGCTAAAAATTACCTAAAAATGACCTTTTCAGTGATTTTGAGAATTTTTTTGTGATTTTCAGCCAATTTTTGACCATTTTGACCAATTTTAGTCTATTTTAAGGCAATTTTTAGCCATTTTTTAATCATTTTTGGCTACTGTAGGTCAATTTTAGCTCATTTTTCAGAGTATTTTTGACCACACTTTTAATGATTTTCAGCCAAAAGTCTAAAAATAGCCAAAAAATCGAAAAAAAAATTTTTTTTCGAAAAATCTGAAATTTTCAGCCAATCTTCTTCCAATTTTTTAGATTTCTCGAATATTCGATTTTTCATCAAAAATTGATTTTCTAGTTGATTTTCGACTGGAAAATCTGAATTTTCGGGCTATTTTTAATCTAGAATCAGTGAAAAATAGGAAAAAACCAAAAAAAAAAATTTTATCAAATTTTGGAATTTTCAGCCAAAAAAATCCGAAATTTCATATCAATTTTTATGGAATTTTCATGATTTCTAGACTAATTTTGATCGAAAAATCTGAATTTTCAGCTCATTTTAAGTCTAGAGCTACTGAAAATCAGAAAAATCGAAAAAAATAAATTTTTTCAAAAAATCTGAAATCTTCTTCCAATTTTTCAGATTTCTAGAATATTCAACTTTTCGTCAAAAATTGATTTTCTAGATGATTATTGATCGAAAATTTTGAATTTTCGGTGTATTTTAGGCCTAGAATCACTAAAAATAGAAAAAAATTCAAAAAAAGTTGAAATTTGAAAAATCTGAAATTTTCAGCCAAAAAATCTCAAATTTCAGATTCATTTTTTATGGATTTTCATGATTTCTGGACTATTTTTGATTGAAAATTTCGAATTTTCGGTTAATTTTAGGCCTAGAATCACTAGAAAATAGTCAAAAAATGGATTCTAAAAAGTCAACATTTTTGGAATTTTCTAGAATCCAAAAAAAGAAGAAAAACCCCAAGAAACGAGGGAAAAAGTCTAAAAATGACCTAAAAATGCCCCCAAAAACCAGCTGAAAATGGTCAATTTTTGACCATTTCGGGCCATTTCAGGTCATTTTTTCGAGATTTTTAGCCGATTTTGGGCGATTTTCAGTGATTTTCAGCCCAAAAATCGATATTTTCAGCGCAAGCCGATGCGTCAGACATGGAAATCGAAGTGGAACGAGCTCCGATGCTTCCAGAAGAGATTATTGCTCATCAAATTGTCACAGACGCGATGAACGAGCTGTTCAACACGCATCAGGAGTAGCTATTCATTCTCAGCGTTTTGTGCCTTTTTTTGGCTGAAAAATCTGAAAATTTGACGTTTTTTGAGTGATTTTGAGCTGAAAATCGGCTGCTTTTTTAGCTGAAAATTGCTCATTTTCCGCCCAAAATCGTTCAATTTTCGTCATTTTTGGCTGAAAAAATCAAAAAAATCGGGCAATTTGACGATTTTTGAGCCAAAAATGAGCGATTTTGAGCTGAAAATCGTCTATTTTCAGCCATTTTCAGCCAAATTTTTCCCATTTTCCCGCATTTTTTGTGTCCCCCACATCATTCCAGAATTCGTTTTTTCGAGCATTTTTTTGGCTGAAAATCCTGATTTTTGAGCCCAAAATTGCTATATTTATGGGTATTTTTTTGTCTTTTCTCTTAGCTCCGCCCCTTTTTTTCACTCATTTTTTAAATGTGATATTCCGATTTTTTTTGTCTTTTTTCTCCTTGAGGAATACTGTATATAATTATATATATATATATATTTCCTGGATTACTGTATCTGTAAAAATTAATTTTTTGTTTTTCGATTTTCAGCTAGAAGATTTAAAATAAAAATGAAAAACCTGAAAATTTCAGCATTTTGGATTTTTTTGAATTTTGCATTTTTGTGGACAAAAAATGAGTTTTTTCATCTTTTTTTTACTTTTTTCTCTGCTTTTTCAATTTTTTAAACAATGTATTTTGAGCACTTTTTTTGGCTGAAAATTGCCGTAAAATCTCGAAAAATGTCTGAAATTAAAAAAAAACATTTTTAGACATCAAAAACGTCACTTCCACATAGATACTTAAAACTGAAAGAAATTTGTCTGAAAATGGGCCAAAAATCATGTATACCCCGTAAACACTCTAATAGAACGCCACCCGGTCCGTCGACTTTGAGCCTGTATATCTCACTTGATTTAAAAGATATCAAAAAGTTGTCAACTGATAAAATGTTTATCATGATATCAGCAATATGTTATAAGTTGATCACTTTTTGATATCTTTCATGGGAACTGAGATAATTGAGCTCAAAAGTATAGGCAATGAAACTGGTCGATGCACCATGTCTGGATGTAAATGGCTCTCAACTTTGAGGTCAGTTATCTCGAAACCCATGAAAGATATCAAAAAGTGATTAACTGATAAAATGTTTCTGATATTATGATAAACATTTTATCAGTTAATCACTTTTTGATATCTTTCATGG